GTTCGACCAATTTTTGAGGTCAACATCTTCTAAAAGACAATGTTTTCAAGTGAAGTATATATCTAGTAGTCGCATCATTCTTGGAACTTGAAGTGATCGTTAATATTGACATGTGATTGATAGTCTCATGTCACATGCACCATATCTACATCTTATAATTTTTAATACGAAGATGTTTTCAAGAGTGGTTGATAATGCATCTAGAAATGAATACATGGTTAATGTGTTGATAATTCATCATTGCATTTAGTGGGGACCTTATATTATGCATGTTTCAAGAGTGATGCTACAAGTACATAATGGTCTACATAATTGCAAATAGCATTGATCAACACCTTTAATTCAAATCTGACACTTTCACATCAATGACATGATGGTTGCCATATCACATTATGTCATCCATTGTGTACATTTATTATGTACACTTAGCATTTTCCTTTTCTTTTACATAAAATATTTTTTTTTCTAACTAATAGAAAAATCAGTGTGTGGGGGCCGGGCCGGGCCCCTCCATCCGTCCCTGGCTGGATTTGTTTTGGGCTAATTCTATGAAGTAAATAGTCATCTAAATGTAATCTTGAATCTTTTGAGTTAATGGAACAAGTTGGTGTGCACGAGTAGAGAATATAACTACTACACTAAACATGCATGAATAAAGCTTCTTGTACATTAATTGGTTGACATGGAGTTTGACACTCCATATATTTTCAAATGCAAATTGACGGGAAGGTGTATTTTATTTTAAAACTGTTCACTCATGCCACAACACGTGACACAATGTCTAACTTGATGTCAAATGAAGTGTACATGTAACATGATTGAAAAAAAAAACATGTGTAATTTTTTTTTATTTTTTTACGTATTAGCCCGACCTGTAATTCGGTTCTAGATCCGTCCCTGAATCCGGCCACCCCCATAGGTTTATATTTAACCTAAATTTGAACTTTAATCCACCCTAAAATTAAATTATAGATCCACTCCTGGCTTATAACTAGGGCGATTACTATGGCAGACTCATAGTAATAACTTTGGGTCAGCACTGTAACAAGATAATTGCGAGAAAGAAGTTAAGAAGCTTTCCACAAAATATCGAGTGATTTTATAGATTTTTAAGTGGACGTCGATTTTTTTATGTTGAACTTTGGAAAATTGCAATGGCATCTGCTACCTTTGAACATGATTACAACTAAGCAATATAATATAATGAAGAAGATTGAACAACGAATCTGATTCTCGAAGAAAAAGAAATAAGGAATTTCATCAATCACTGTTTACAAAATGCCGTTGACCGTATATTTAATCTACAATTCGGATACATAAAAAATTTGAGCTCAAGTTATTGATAAAAATATGTATTGAACTTGCATTTTAGCTGAAATATAAATTCATTTAATCTTTCAATTTTAAACATGTAGATGAAATAATTTCCTATTATTTTCTTAGTGTACATAAATGTTCGATCTTGTACTATCACTAATTATTTATAAATATAAGACATGTTTAGCTTTTAGTACAAAAATAAATGTCATCTTTTGTTAAAGGGTATGTCACTAGTCGAATCTCTAATTACTTGTACTATAAATTGTTGGAAAATTGGATTTCATTAGTTGGTTTGACCAACTTCTGACCAATTATTTTTGTGGGTTCCGTTAGTTGGACAAAATATTTATTTGACTGAGTATGTTCTACTCCATGAGTAGATTAATATAGTGGTGGCAATCGAGCCTAGCCGGTTCGTGGGCTCGGCTCGTTGCCACCGAGCTACGAGCCGCTCCGGTTCGTCCAAATTTTTTTTTTATAAGGCATATATTATTAATATAAAAAAAAATTACCCGAGCCACGAGCTAAAGCTCGGCTCGACCCACGAGCCGCACACGAGCCACGAGCTCGTGGGCCGAGCCAAGCTCGGGTATTTGTAACGAGCCTAGCCCGAGCTCAGCTCGTTACAAACGAGCCACGAGCTCTGCTCGTGACGAGCACCAGCCGAGCTTGTGGGTCAATGGGCCGAGTTGAGCCACACCTCTAGATCAATATAATGTATTTAATTTCTCAAAATCAATTTAAAGTAAATGAGAAATTAAAGTCAAAAGATAACAACTTGAAGTTGAAATAAATTGGAATAAAAATTGGTGAAAAATTGGAAAAGTGCCAATCCCACGTAAAAAAATTAGAAGAATATAAATCATTTTATATTGCTCAAATTTGGGACTTGGATTTGGACCCCAAGAGGTACCAATAGTTTTTGAAGGGGAGAGAACCTACATACTAGTAGGTTGGGCCAAATCTCACACGCGCGTGCAGCCGCCTGTCCGACCTGCCGGTACGAGCACGAGTCACGGGCTTGGGCTTGGACCAAACTGATATATATTTTTTAGTAAAATAATATTTGATTTATATTATTTTATTATAATAATATATTATTATTTTTTTCCCCGAATTTTTTGTGTGTGATATGTGGATTCTTCTAGGAGGGCGGTTGACGGTTGAGCTGGTCCAAACGGGTTGTGTCTATTGAAGACACAACTTTCCGTCTGTTGTGTCTTTTGGACACAACCTTTCAACTTCTATAAATTGGCCCCCATACCCCGGTTTTCATTCACTTCAAAATCAATTCTGATTTAATTCCTTTTCCGATATTATTTATTCGTCCTTGCATTATTCATATTTTGCATTCCAGTCTCAAAAAATTATTTTCGTTCATTCTAGTCCTCCAACTTTTAGAGAGATCAGAAGCGTGAGTAGTTTCGTCGGGTATTGTAATTAGTAGTGCTACTATTACAAGTCAAGATCGTTGTATCTTGGGAGACGAGTGCCGGAATACCATCAGCACCAGTGCGAGGCATTATCGTCTTAAGGAAAAAGAGTCGAACTCTTACCTCGACCATTAACATTTGATCGCATTCATTTTTTTTTTCACGATATTATTCTGCCCAAGTTAATTATCGGTGATATTATTACTTGCCTACTTCCAACAGTATATAGGTAAATGTGGAACTCTAGTTATCTATGCTACAATCATGTGTTAAATATGATACAATTAATACTAATTTTATAATAGTTGGCATCCATAAGATTCTGATTATGATTTAAATTTAAACAACTAGTTAATTGCTTTTGAGATAATGAAAATTTTGAATGTTTTCATTGATACGATCAATGCGTGTGCGAGTGTCTAGTATCTCACTACTTCTATACTCCTTACTCATTTTCTAAATATAACAATTTTTTTAAAAAAAAATATAGAGATTTTTCATTTTTATGATGTTATTGTTATGATGGATATGAAATTCCATAAATATTGGAAGTACTTGCCCATATTATTCCATCTAGCTACAATATAACAATCGTATTAACTTATAGGTTTGTAATTGTATTATTGAAAAATTTCTTCACTTTTAATATTGGATATCCCATTACATTATGTGATAAATAAAGTACATTGTACATAATTTGTATTCACATGGTTGCTAAACATGGTACAATTAATAATCCACCATCGCCTTCTGTTATTTCGTTATTCCTCAATGATGACATATGAGCCTATTTAAGTAAGACTAATGCAAAATGTTCACCGTGCCCATTTTTGTACTAGTATTAGTAGTAGCAAAATGAAATTGTCATAAAATTAAATAGATATTTTTATACCACATTCCTAGTATTTTAAGTTGAAAAGATATAAAAGATTGTTTGGGAGGGATTAAAATCGAAAAACTAGCCGTTATTGTTGACTTTTATTAGACATGTGGGACTCAATAACGACTATATTTTCAATTTTAATTTGATTAAAATCCCTCCCAAACAA